AAACCAATGGCTCAATCCTAGACAAATATCACTTCCGACCCCAAAACCTGAACACCATCCGCAGGAAGTGATGCTTTGCATTTGGTGGGACATCAAGGAAGTAACTCATTTTGAACTCCTCAATCCACAGCGAACTGTCAATGCAGAAATCTATAGTCAGAAACTGGAACGTTTAAATCAAGCCCTTCATCAGAAACGCCCTTTACTTTAATCGGAAAGGTGTTCTTCTCCACGACAATGTACATCCACATGTGGCATGTTTGACGCAACAAAAGATTATGGAGTTGGGTTGGGAAGTTCTCCCTCACCCACCATATTCTCTAGATATGGCACCATCAGATTACCATCTTTTTCGTTCGCTGCAACACCATATTAATGGGGAAACGTATGCAAATATGGAAAGTGTTAAAAAGGACATCGACATGTTTTTTGCTTCAAAGCCAAATGATTTCTTTAATCAGGGTAAGAATGGAGACTATTTCATTTAATAAACTTTTTGTTTTTTTATATATATAAGTTATTTGGGTTTTTTTCATCTAAAAAAAGGCGACATTAATTTCTTGACGACCTAATACTTGCAGATAAAGTCCGCAACTTCCCGGAGAGGAGAGTCATTAAGTAGTCCAATGATTATAGCTGGCATTGTAAACATCGTCTTAAGGGTTTCAACAAAGGTCTTAACAGTCTGAGACCTCGAGAAAAAAAGCATGTGAGCTGTTACAGGTCTTTTATAGTATCCTGGTGGATTGTGGAGGATGTTTTGTGAGTGGTGTTTATCCCTGGTTCTGATTGGAGGAATGGCTGCACGTGGCTTCAACCAAAGGTAGCTATAGGCTTCTAACCTCTAATCTGGAATTCTTGATGAAAGTAGAGATGTAACCATCCTGTTTAAAACATTCTACGATCTTTTGGCATTCTGTTTTGATGGATGTCTCATCACAAATGTTTTCTGCTCTCTTGTTCGGCCATTGTATTATACCACATTTTACCGAGGTTGGATGACAGGACTGGAAGTGCAAGTATCTGTCAGTGTGAATATATTTTCTGTATACAGTTGTGGTGATTTTTCTTTTCTCTCATTGTCTGCTGAAAAGTATGTCAAGAAATAATAGGCTGTTTTGTTCCTATGAAGATGGAAGACTTTCGAAACATCGTCCTCTACACTTGTGTTTTTTCTACAACTGGCAGTTGCCGCCCATTCTAGTGTACTCATCATGCTTAAGTGTCATCTGTGTAACCTCAGTAGTACAGAGGTTTTATATGGTCTTGATATTTCCGTAACCATTTTTATTCATGATAGCAAAGCAATACACATTAGTCATCAAACGAGCTAAGCTCGACCCTATGGCTACACCATCAGTTTGTTGATATCCTTTGAACAGTGAATGAGTTTCCTTCCTTGGAAATTCCAGACACTTTTTTAGTTAGTTGACTTACTTTATCTACATCTTTAACTAGCAACTCACACCAGATACCTATAGTTTCATCTTATGGTAGAGCCAGATTAACGAGTAACCTAACCAAACTATAGCTTGCCCCACCCCCCAAAAAATAGAATCAGCAAACGTTTTCTAGTAGTCAATGACTATGATTGCTGTTCATAATTTATAACTTGCGGTTTATGATCCTTTCTTGAATAGACCAGTTTCAAGTTACTTTTTATAAATAGGCAGATCTGATTGGCCGCCAGAAAAGCTTATGACGTCTATCTGAGTTTCTTGGAAAGTTTATTTCTCTAATTTCCGAATATAATTCATCAATAAATGAGGTCTAGCTAGTATATTTTGTTAAAATATAAAATTGTTCTTTTAAAAAATATATATATATATATTTATATGAATAAGTATTTGTGTTCTTGCTTTACTGTTTTTGGTTGTCTAATTTGGAATGTTAAACATGCATGTAAATATTTCTATATCTGTAAGTTCATAATACATATGGACGTACATATAAGGGCCTTTGCTCTATCTTACTCTTAGCTTGCCCCTCCCCCTCCCAACCCAATAACTTTATCTGGCCCTGTGTTTAAAGGTATATTAGTATACAAAGATTCAATATCACAGCTTAAACAATACACACGTTTTTGGAAATTTAACTATTTAATCTATTCTATAAGTTCAAACTATCTACCAGCAGTATGCTCGTTTTTATGTTTTGGGACGTTCGATGAACCTTCAGTTAAGTTCTTACGTAACTTTGAGCATAAAAATATAGTTGACGTAGTACTATTTGATATTATATGTGGGCGTTGACATAATGTAAATTACGAAACGGCCATATTTCGTAGCACAAATACTAACACACTTAATATTTAATGTACTGGATTATTGTAATGGCTTATGTTGTTGGTCAGATTTTTTTTTGAATTATTTAGCAAAACGCATTCGAAATCTGGTCCATTTAATGATAAAATAATTTTATTTTTTCACAGTCCGGCTCAATGGTTAACGTGCTAGACTTTGGATCTGAGGTTACAGGTTTGCACTTCATTATTACCAAATAATCTATCTCCGCATTTTGATGCTGTTTGTGCATTATAAGAGTAACGGTCAAATCTCACTTTTTGGTTTGACAAGAGAAGCCCAACAGTTGGCTGTGGGTAGTGTTGATTAGCTTCCTTCCCTCTAGTCAATCATTTCAAAATTAAAGACGGCTAGCGAGAATAGCTATCGAGTAACTTTACGTAAAAATCAACAAAAGAGTTCTACAGTTATATTTGCTAACGATAGGCCTAACTTCACAACTAAACAACGTCTAAATAGACATTCCACTTAGTTGCTAATTTCATATCTCATATGCTTCATCGCAAACAGAAACTCAGAACTGACATTACTGAACTAATTTAACTAAAAGCAACAAACAAACTGATTAAAGTTTACACTGATTACTCGTTAACTGACAGACTAACACACAAATCAATCCTAATTTACCCTAGTCTTAACTCGCGGTTTATACTGTTCATATTGTTCTAAAACTATGGATAAGATTCCACACGTTAAGTCACGTGCTCACCACACTACGATAAACCATTCTCTGACCAAACAACGATACAAACGTTTAAATTAAAAACATGCCTATAACTAAAATATACAAGCACCCTGTTTACTTGAGCAAATGCACAGATAGATTAAGCACAACGCTTCTCACGCCCCTGTGATTTCTAAAACTGTTTTATTGTTTAACAGCATAAAAGTGTGAAAGGTTTATGACAAGATCTAACAAAAAAAACAAACAATAAAAGCGAGTGGATTTTAGATATAGCCCCTTACTTCTTTACAAAACTGTATGTGAGCAAATAAATCATGTTCAGATATACATGCACTCTAAGTGTAAGGCAAATGAGGGATCAGCACCTTTGATAACACCCTTTTTTTATATAATAAAGGAAAACCAGAACATCCAAATTTCACTACCATTCAATAACAAATCCATAGTAAGTATTATTCATTGATAATAAAAAATGAATGAAAAAAATAAGCTGTTATCAAATTTTGGTGAAAAATTAAATAAAAAGAATGGGATGTTATAGCGCCATCTATTAAGCATAAATAACACTTGTTAAGAAAATATCTTTCAAAAATATTGAATCTTTTACTGTTAATCAAATCATTTTAACTCGTAGTTTATCAGAGAAACTATTGTTATAAATAAGAAAAATAACTTTACATATTCTCGTGTTATTCTGTATTTTTCTTGATCTTCAGAAGTCTACCTCTTTGACAAAAATATTATGTACAATACATAATTCATACCAAATAACAGCTAAGAAATCATGGAGCTACGTTTATCTATATTTCCATTAAATCATAAACATATATTTTTTTTACAAGCACAACAAACAGCATGCCAAAATAAATGCTATATTTATAAAATTGTAATATGATTTAGTGGTGTTTCGTGTTCTTGGAAGGTATGACAAGTCTAGTTTTGAAATGCTTGATTGTGACCTAACTGATCATCCATTTTTAATATATGGAAAAATGAAACTTAGACAGGTATTGGATTGGACTCGACTCTCTTTTATATATAGAAATATTTTTATCTTGTATCGTGGCCTGTTATTATAATATCGTTTAATCTTATCTCACGCCCCCTCCCCCAGTGGCACAGCGGTATGTCTGCGGACTTATAACACTAGAATCCGGGTTTCGATACCCGTGGTGGGCAGAGCACAGATAGCCCATTGTGTAGCTTTGTGCTTAACTTTAAAAAAATCTTATCTCATTTTAATATCATTTATTTGTTGAAATATAACTTAAAATGTATGACAGCGACTGATTTTAGAAGTAGATATAAGCATCACTAACATAATGTGTTTAGTTTGGTAAAAATACTTTCTAAAAATTATTGTTGCTTTATTATGAAAAATGATTACCAACTATTACAATCTATTGAAACGCACATAGTAAAAAATATGAGCTAAGGTGATTATTTTCGATGATACTAGTTGGCTGCCATCTCTTGTGGAAAACTCACACTTCCTGGTTGATTATGAAAATAATCGTGAAAAATTAATTCTTTGTTGGAAAATTATGTCTTTATACGCATAAAAAAACACCAGATATTTCTCAACTAAACTTTAGAATAACCAAACAAATTAGCGAAATGATGAAAGTATTATTTCAGTAACGATTTCATGCGAAATTTGGTTTTATTACAATTATAGTAAATTTTCCGTTTAACATATATTCTAATGAAGTGAATAACATGACATGAAATTTATATATTTTCCTTTAAATTATATTGAAAAGATATTAATAATGTATTAAAGTAAAAAAATGTAGATATTTTACTCGTCCTTTGGAACATCTGTGTTTCAGAAAGTTAAGCAGTTTAATGGTTTTTTTTTTTATCAAATATAATCACAAGCAATATAAACAATTTGAACGACACAGTTATCATGAAATATTGTAAAAGAAAAGACTTACGTTTAGGAAACAATTTAAAGAAACACTTACCTTAAATTGAAAGCTTCCCATTTCTGAAGTTCCCACTTTCGAACCTTTTTTGAAGCAAGCTAAGTAATCTAGAGTTAGCACAAAATAGCGCTCCTTCCAGCGACTGAAGAATTTGTCTCTTTGTTGCCATAGTAACCCCTTCTTTAGCGTAGTGGTTTCAGGCATGGCAGCCTTAGATGTTGATTCCAATTCAGCAGAAGTCATCTTGAATGGTTTTTGAAATCGATTTATGAGTTGTATTTTAGTCACCTGCCATCATCACATTCGCCAAAGTTTCATATGGCTAAATAGACAGATAAAACTCAGAAACTCTAGTTCGCCAACAAATATCAAACAAGTGATACTACAGCATACTACTCATAAGGTTGGTCACAAAAGAAAATATTAGACACTCTATCAGTGTCACATATACAACTGACCTGTTATTACTCAGAGATTTGTCCTGGCTTGTGAATTTTTTTATATATGTTTTTTATTACTCACTAATAATAGTAATTCGGTTCCTTCGCAAATATATGATGTAAGCGTAGGTTTGTGCACAAGATATAACATGATAAAAGAAAGAAAAACTGGTTGTAAAGAATACAAGCTGAAAAAAACAACACTGTTAGTCAAACTAGTAATGAAATATATAAATAGCTATTAATTAAAAGATAATAAAGTCACTGAACATAACAAGTATTATGATGTACAATTTGTACTTTTCAAAAGTTTTTAATTTCAAGAATAAAACTTCATAGAAAAGAGACACGGATATGAAACAATTGGTCCAATGAAAATGAGCGAAAGTAGCGAATTCTAAAGACGTGAATTAACCTGTATAAAGAAGAAACAGTACTTATCTACACAGCTGGGCGTACAAAACATTTATGGAACTTCACCACAAATAACAAGTAAATATACACTGTGCACAAAACCGCTAGGAGCGTTTTAATTTTCCATATCGATCCCAGTAGTTCCATATAAGGAACTTGAGCCCTAACGTCAGGATTGAAGAGAAACAAATTCTGATATAAAAAAATCAATACTTTCTAGCCGAAGTAGTCACACCACATTATATTATGCTGTATAATTACCTAATATCTTGTTTAAACTGTTTTCTGTGCTGGCAGGGCTAGCATCAATACTATTACCAACAACTTCAGAACGTAAATGGTCTCGCTCCCGACCCCTATTGGGACGCGGTGTCAGTTATCGTTTGGAAACTGTAATTAGCAGACGACACAACAAGCTACAGATGCGTCACGTGATATAAAACAAAGGAACATACAGAAAATGTAGCAGACACACACACACACGCAGAAAAAAATCATTTCTAAAAACTCCGATGCTGTGATCATCGTAAATACACTTGGATACAACGAAGTGTGTAGGTGTACATGCAGCAGTCAAACTGACACTAACAGCCTGGCAACAAATAAAATAAAATATTTACTCTCGTCTGTTTACATTGTAACTACGTGGACTCTGTAGCTATTGTTCTGGCTTTACTACGCTCTCTCTAAGAGCAGACAGATATACAATAGGTACGAATTACATAAATCGCCGGGCGTTGTTACAATCATTACACCGAGAAGTAAAAGAATACACTAAAAAACAATGAAAATAGTAATGGTGATTTTTAAATGAATACAGATCAGTATTAGCTCTTCTAACGCAGCACAATTATGCTTCTAACCCGAGTCACGTTTAACATGCCTTGAAATATATGTGGCACACGCACCCAGCCAAATATAGCCAGCTGACAAAAGTCACGTGACAGAGGGAAGGGTTACATTTACTTTAAGTATATTTTTGTGGATATGCTGCTTGGAATGTAATCAACTAATGACGTGAATTTTCTCATGATATTTACTCATATTAAATGTAATCGAGAATTAGGAGTGTAATGTTCAACGTTCTGTTTGTTCTTGTCTCCACATAGTAATCAGGAAGTAGGAGTGTAGCGTTCAAGGTTCTGTTTGTTCTTGTCTCCACACAGAAATCAAGAAGTAGGAGTGTAATGATCAACATTCTGTTTGTTCTTGTCTCCACACAGAAATCAGGAAGTAGGAGTGTAATGTTCAATGTTCTGTTTGTTCTTGTCTCCACATAGTAATCAGGAAGTAGGAGTGTAATGTTCAACGTTATGTTTGTTCTTGTCTCCACACAGAAATCAGGAAGTAGGAGTGTAATGTTCAACGTTCTGTTTGTTCTTGTTTCTACATAGTAATCAGGAAGTAGGAGTGTAATGTTCAACGTTCTGTTTGTTCTTGTCTCCACATAGTAATCAGGAAGTAGGAATGTAATGTTCCATGTTCTGTTTGTTCTTGTCTCCACATAGTAATCAGGAAGTAGGAGTGTAATGTTCCATGTTCTGTTTGTTCTTGTCTCCACATAGTAATCAGGAAGTAGGAGTGTAGCGTTCAAGGTTCTGTTTGTTCTTGTCTCCACATAGTAATCAGGAAGTAGGAGTGTAGCGTTCAATGTTCTGTTTGTTCTTGTCTCCACACAGAAATCAGGAAGTAGAAGTGTAGCGTTCAATGTTCTGTTTGTTATTGTCTCCACACAGAAATCAGGTAGTAGGAGTGTAGCGTTCAATGTTCTGTTTGTTCTTGTCTCCACACCGAAATTAGGAAGTAGGAGTGTAGCGTTCAAGGTTCTGTTTGTTCTTGTCTCCACATAGTAATCAGGAAGTAGGAGTGTAATGTTCAATGTTCTGTTTGTTCTTGTTTCTACATAGTAATCAGGAAGTAGGAGTGTAATGTTCAACGTTCTGTTTGTTCTTGTTTCTACATAGTAATCAGGAAGTAGGAGTGTAATGTTCAACGTTCTGTTTGTTCTTGTCTCCACATAGTAATCAGGAAGTAGGAGTGTAATGTTCAATGTTCTGTTTGTTCTTGTTTTTACATTGTAATCAGAAAGTAAGAATGTAGCGTTCAAGATTCTGTTTGTTCTTTTCTTCACACAGAAGTCAGGAAGTAGGAGTGTAACATTCAATATTCTGTTTGTTCTTTTCTTCACACAGCAAACAGGGAACGTGTGTGGAACGTTCAATGTTCTGTTTGTTCTTGTCTTCACGCAGTAATTGGCGATACATCAAAAACAGGATTTTGGCATGCAGTTGAAATATAAATTTTATTCAAACTTTTCTAAAAGTAAGCACCATTTATTTCGAAAGATAAATTGACATTGATATAAGACATCAACCATTCGTGTTCCGAGAACTGGTTACTTTAGGCGGAAAATAGTCAATGAACATCGCGATACTCGGTAAACGATAGTAAAAAACGTCACAACATGCAAATTAAGAATAACATACAAAAGTTGCAAAAGGCTTGAAAGAAAATCTACACCGGTCTGGTCCAGATTTGGGGCATACTTTCTTGACCCCATGAGTGAAAGTAGATCAGTAGGGCACATCGCTCTTCACCACAGGGACGACGCTTCGTGCCAATCCGACTAAATACTACTCGAAAGTTTCTCCGATATTTTCGTAACATAAAACAGAACACTCGAAAACGTTATGAAAGTGTATAATATTGGACCAAATGATCAACCATGTCCCCTGAGAGTCTAGAGCTCAATATTTAGACTGAGGTTTATTTATTTATTTTAGCTTTTCCCATAATAATGTGTTAATTTATCTGAAAAGAAACATTAAAAAAAGTTAAGACACAGCGTGTGTAACTGTACGAAGTTTGAATCGTTATTCATTCTAAATCAAACCCTTTTGTCGTTTCTCAATTCAACTTTTCACTATATTATTATTTTTAAGATACCTTTATTTTTTTATTAACTCGTAACTTCTTTTGTTACTACTGTTCAAAATTTTCCGAATTCATTCTGTAACATTTCCCTATAACGCGGTTAGCGTTCTGTTAGTTGTATCTTATACAACTGTAATTTGTGTTATCCTACAATGGCTATACCTTATTTAGATTACATCTTAACGTACTGTTTCTGATTTACACCGGATGTTAAGTTGCTACTACAGCTCACTATTGTGAATACAGATCTACTGATTGTATATACCACCTGTAAGTTTTGTCGTTATCATGATTCTAATGTTTCTTTAATACTATTGTAACTTATATGTTGAGTATGGGTCTATAGTTCACTTTTATTGTTTGTGAACCTCATAGTAAGAAACAAGTTGAATCAAAAACGCTTGATCACTCACATAAAAAGTAAAAAGGTGAAACCCTAACGCTTTCGATAAGAGGACCCATCTTCTTCAGGGATAACGCTAAGAATTTTTATTTCTCTTTTTTTTTAATGTGTATGTACCGTGATGCCAGTACGTTTAGAATTTTTCTCGTTTCTACCTGTAACTGATATACTTTTCAGGATTACATTGATAGCTTATTAGTACGATTCATTATTTCGAATTTACACTTACGACTAGTACGGTTTCAATGTTACTGAATTACGTAGTACAACTTGTTTTCTATGTGACGTTAAAACTTCTAAAGAATATTGTAAACCTGTGTTGTTGCTACAGTTTTAAAGTTTCGAGATTATATCTGTATAGTTTTATTGTTGTCATGCTGGGTCTAGTTAAACTACACTTAACATTCAGGGTTTGGTTTAGTCTCACAAATGTTTTTCATTTTGCAAATAGATTTGGAGTGATTGATTGAATTTAGATTTAGTTCTGTATCAAATTACTTGTTGTTGTATTATTTTCTATGTATTTCTGTTTACATTTAGTTGTTTATTTCTATTTTACTCTGTTCATAGTTCTGTAAATAAAATGCACACTTTGTGTCATTTGTTAAATTTGACGCCTGTTTGAGCCATGCTAACTCCAGTTTACTCTGGTTTAATATACATTTATAACTTTTTTTGTTACTATAGTAACTTTTTATTTTACATTTAACTAGCTTTGTCACTACCCTCTGGTTTACAGGGAGTTCAGTATGACATACTAAAACGACTTGTAACATGAAAATAAGAAAATCATGTGACAGACGATATAAAGTGACAGTAAAATGGGAATGTATCAGATCTACATTTAAGCATTGTCTGGCATTATGTAAGTAGTGTGATGCTACCGAGAACTGATCGCTTTTGGGAAGTGTACATAACAGCCTCAGACTATAAAGATGTATTTGGAAAGGAAATTTACAATTTTCAATACGGAAATATCCCTTGTACATAAATACAACCGAATAAAAAATATGGATCAACTTGGGGTACCAAGATTATCCAAAAAGAGGCCTGCAACAAGTCCATCTCCAACTGTGATATGCAAAGTTCGGCGTCTTGTAACAGGTGAGGATCCAGAACACAAAGGTCAGT